CGGCCCCGGCCGCGCCCCCACCTGGCGCCGCTTCCACCCGCCCTGCGCCCATTGGGCGACGGACGCGCGGCCCCAGCCAACCGGCAGTGGCCGCTGCCACCACGTGGGCCGGAGTTGCCCCGCCCCCCCCGCGATCGGAGGCGAAACGCTGCTGTTTTGGGGCGGTCGGGGCAGCGGCTCCGTCCAAAGCCCTTTATTGGGGGCGCACTGGGGACCCGTGGAGGCCGGGGCTAGGGGCTTCTACAGGGCCTCGGGGGTCCCCGGGGTCAGGGGTCACGGGGGCCCCGCCCTGTGTCCCCAGGTCAAGGGTCACGAGGGGTCCGGCCCCATGCCCCCACAGGGTCCCCGAGCACCAAGGGGGCCGGGGGCTGCTGGCTGCCCTCGCGGGGTCCCACACGGCCTGGGGACACAAGGGTCCGTGATGGGCATCCCCCCATGCCAGGGGCCAGGGGTGCCACCAGGTGCCCCCTTGCGTCCCCTGCTGTCTCAGGTCCTGGGATCCTCCAGGGTCCTGGCACTGCGGGGGTCAGGCGCTGGGGGTCTCAGGGGTCACAGGTCACGGGGGGGCAAGGCCACACGGTAGAGGACGCGGCCGGTGGCCTCCAGGTAGGTGACGGTGGCCGCATGGGCGTCCAGGCGCAGGTGGGCAAAGCCACCGGGGGACGCGGGCGCCCCGAAGAAGAACCGGAGGGAGCCGGGGGGCACGGCCCCGCTGTGGTGCTGGGACTCTTCCATGAAGTTGCCGGCACCACTCACCACATAGCCAACCCCCCCTTCCTCCAGGAACTGGGGGGTAAAGGTGGGGGGGGGGGTGTCAGGGGTCTGGACACCTGGGTCCCCACCTAGATGGCCGGGTCCCTCCCCCAGACACCAGGACCCTGCCCACCCCCCACCCCCCCCAGGGACTGGGGGGGCACAGGGGTGGGGGTTGAGCATCTGGACCCCTGGGCCCCGCCCACCTCCTGCTCCAGGAACTGGGGAGGTAGGGGGGGTCAAGGGGGCAGCGGCCCCTTGGGGGTCAGAGAGGGGTCAGAGGGGGGTCCCTGGACACAGGGGTCCAGTGGGGAGTCTAGGGGTCCTCTCAATGCCAGGGTCCCATGGCAGGGGGGGGTGTCTGGAGGGTTCCTCGGACACCATGATCCCATTGCAGGGGGCCCCAGACACCAGGGTCCTGTGTCAGGTTTTGGGGGGGTCCTTGGACACTGAGGTCCCATGGGGGGAGGTCTGGGGGTCCCCCCAGAGGCCAGGGTCCCCGGGCTCACCTGCAGGTTGTGGTCGTGGCCGCAGAGGTAGGCAGTGACGCGGTGGCGCCGCAGCAGCGGCCGCAGCAGCCGCACCAGGCAGGCAGTGGGGCCGTGCTCGGCCACCGACCACACCGGGTAGTGGCCAGCCACCAGCACGTAGTGGTCGTGGCGTGCAGCAGCCAGGCGTCCCCGCAGCCAGGCCAGCTGCGCTGCCGCTGCCCCCGCATCCTGGGGGCCCTTGGGGGCACCCCCCACCCCAAAGTCATCCCCACCACCGCAGAGCAGCACCGTGTCCAGCATCAGCAGCCGGGCCGAGACGTTGGTGCCCGGCAGGGAGAGGCGCAGGCTGTAGTAGTAGTGCGGGAAGTGCCTGTGGGACACAGGGGGCTTGGGGACACTTGGGGACATCCCAGGGGTACTTGGGGACACAGGCAGGTGGCTATGCCAGGGAACAAACAGCAACTGCACAGGGGTCCTGGCTGTGCTGGGGGGTCCCTACCATCGGGGGGAGCGGTGCCCATATGCCAGCTGCGCGGTGACATTCCCAGCATGGTCGTGGTTCCCAGCCAGCACGAACCAGGGCAGCTCCCGCAGCCCCGGGGCTGTGAACACCCGCTCAAAGGTCTCCTGCCAGGAGGACATGGGGGGGCACAGGGAGGACAGGGGGAGTAGGAAACAGAGAGAGATACATGGGGACACAGAATGGGGATGTGTAGGGACAGTGGGAGCTGAGCACAGTCCGCCCAGCCAGGCTCCCCACAACCCCCCTGGGGACGTTTGGGTTCCACTCATAGAGGTACTGGGGTCACCCCTGAGATTCTGCCCCCCCCCAAGACTGGGAGTCCCCCATACAGATTTTGGGAT